ATGGAGAACAATAAAGAATGATGGGCAAAACACATGAATTAATAAATTGTATGATAAGAGATTGGTTATACCTGAGTGTCTCAACTTCTTTATGTAATAAGTCAGACGGAAAACTTTCTTAGAAACTATAAGAATATGAGACGACCAGCAAAGGTTTGAAGAGAAACTAATGCCAAGATAAGAAACACTTGACTTACTCTCTATCATGGTACCATCAATATTACAACAATCATGAGATTGAATCAATCCATGCATGTCTTTTTCACTTCTCAAGCTGAAATCAACAGTGTTACATTTAGTTGGATTTAGTTTAAGACCATTTGAGCCAGACCAATCCTTAACTTCAGCTAAGAAGCCATTCATATGGGAACAATCCGATGTGGAAACTACAGGGACAGAAACGGTCAGATCATCAGCATACTTAATGAAGTTAACTTTGGGTGAGTTCGGAAGGTCATGCAAAAAGAAAGAGAAAAGAAATGGAGAAAGTACTGCACCTTGAGGCACACCACTTTCAGTTAGCTGAGAAGTGGAGCGCTTTCCAGCCAAAACAGTATGCTGTTTCCTATCCTTAAAATAAGAAGACAGCCATCTAGTTGCCCAGGACTCTGTTTGTGCTGAAATCATCTTTCCTAATAAAAGTGTCCTAGGAACAGAGTCGAAAGCTGCAGTATAGTCTAAAAAAGCTGTTCGAACGAACTTAGCGCCCTTATCAAGGCAGGAAACAATATTGTGGTGTAGTACAATGGCTGCATCTAATGTACTTCTTCCACACTTATAAGCAAACTGCTTAGGGTCACTAAAAGCTTTTAAAGAAGGTTTAAGAATATTCAAAAGAAGTTTCTCCATAGTTTTCAAAAAAGGAGATGTTATAGCGACCGGTCTAAACTTTATACCTGCTCCAGAAGATGATTTCTGTACAGGTACAACCTTGATTTCTTTCCAGTCAGCAGGTACCGTTTCCCTGTTAAATGATGCGTTAAAGATTTGAGTAAGAGGATGACACAAGATGTCTGCACACTTTTGAAGAAGAATGCTTGGTACACCATCTGGACCAAGGCTGTGTGTTGGATTTAATGACTTCAAACATAATAGTACATCCTTTTCTTTAAAACCCGGAAAATGACCATTTTCTTGACTAGGTACATCAGGTACAACCATATTAATTTGTTTCTTGATAAATGATTTGTTTAAAGCATTAACATCAGAATAAGCATCAACAGACATTTGTTTTTTACTTGTAAGTTTATTGAAAAGTTTCCAAATGTTTGAAGGATTTTTACATGATAAAAATTTTTCATTATATAGTCTGTTCAACCTTTCTATTTCAATTTTTATAAGGGTGTTTATTTTACGGACACCAGTATTATCACAATTCTTATACAACTTCTCTTTTTGTCTTCTAAGTTTTTTCAGTTGCAAAGAAGAGATTCTGTCAAATCTCGAAAACAGTGTTTCATATGGACAGCAAATTTCCAAACAAAACTTCAGATAATCGGTTATATTAGAGACAGTAGCATCCAACTTATCGTCAGTAAATAGTTCCCAGTTGGTATCATGCAACATGCTTCTTAATGCTAGAATGTTGTCATGGGAATATGAACGTTCATGTATCTTCTTTGTTAAATGACTAAACAATTTTCGTTGTAACTTGCCGTACACTTTCGGTAAAATACGAATAATGCAGTGGTCAGAATTTAGCAAAGGAGCTCTCCTTCGGGTTTCATATACATCACGGTCATTTATGAAAACCAGGTCTAGTGATTTGTCCAGACGTGTATTAAACTTGACTAGATTCTCATGACCAAGTGAAGTAAGAAAGCTGTGATCACATGAATTAAAATCACCACAGACTATAGACAACGAGTTTCCGAATGCAGGAGCAGCGAATTCAGTAAACTCATCTGCAAACATAACTATATTAGAAAGGCTACAATTGGGTGTTATGTAAATATTTGTTATGTATATATAAGAATATTTACTTAAGTGTTTTGGGCGACACCTGACGGTTATGCAATCTATATTGTCATTAGAATAATTGAAGCAAACGTGATTTGATGTAGACCAACTTGTGTTTATAAAGTGGCTACCCCTCCTCCATATTTTTTCTTGGAACTTTTTCTATCTTGGCGAAAAACTTTATATCCATTTATTGAAACTAGATTATCATCATAATGCTGGTGCAGCCAAGTCTCTTGTATTGCTAAAACGCCAGCATTTCGATAAACATTGGAATACATTAGGGATTGAATATAATCCATTTTGTTGGACAGGGATCTACAATTAGTGCTAACGAGTTCAGGAACAGTCATTTGATTAATTTGTGTACGTTTCAGTGCACGCTGCCAGCCACAGTGATGCTTTTTTCTCAATTTTTGTGGATGACACAACGCGGTAGGTTGTAATGATTTTAAAAATGCGCGATTATATATAATACGATTAGGACACATTATTGATAAATTAAAACAAAATTAAAAGAGCAAACCAAAGCTTGTGCTTTATTTTTACCAGCTAAATCGGAGACTGGATAACGTATTCTACCGTGCATTGCACGGAATCTCACAACGAGACTGCAAGAAGTGATAGTTGACTATCAAGGCATAATGAAGACGGGAAACCATAACTCTTCTGAAGGTGAATCTGCATAGTCAGTCAGATCTAGTACTAATTCTCTGAAATCTTCAATAAATGACCCAGTCAAGAAGCCTCCTCCTAGCTTTTGTTTCTCTGGAAGATGTTGTTGCTGTCATATATGCTCAAACAGGAAACAAAACTGTAGAAAATACTAGAAATACTAATATGATTAAGTTCATAACAAGCCTAACCTTGATATTTCTCATTCAAATTCGCCGACTAATAATTCAGTCTCCACATACAAAACAAAACGGTAATTTTCAAGTATTGGTTTTGTAGAGAATCTTGTTTGATTGCATACATAGTTCGGGATTTAACAATTAAATTCTCATGCATCGCGTAGTTTCGAATAGCTTGATTCTCACTCCGTTTAGTAAGACTTGCTTTTATATAACATTTTCCCGTGCATATCAGACAAATTAAACGAAATACACGTCAGGTTACAAATCAGCTCGAAACTAATTTCTACATTCAAACAGAAGTAACAATAATTTTAATGATTCTATTTCTGACCGTTTCCTTTCACTTGTTCATATCACATTTTAATTAATACGTGTTATCTCGCCATCCTATTTTTGGTTCTATCCTAGTTTAGTTACTATTATCAAGGTTCACTTCATCATACATTGTATCTATTTTCCTTACAAGTTGAATTCTCACTACGATATTTTTGAAAACGAAAACTGATAAGGTGCATCGTCAACTGATTAACCAGTTCAAATTCAGCTGGTCACTTCCTCAGGCATAATACTGATATCACAAAAAACTCAACATTCACTTCAACATCCCTCAGTTTACAATACACATCAGGTTGATGAAAGCCGTTCTGAAATAATTAATAAACTAGTTGGTGAAATTAATTGTCACCTTCAATTCAAGTCAAAAAATTTTCAAAGTTCGTTTTTATCCTATGAATTCTAATGATCTGAACACTTGTCTTGACATTTCGCTTTAAAATAAAATTTCTTGCCATGAGTTGCTTAATTACATCTCGCTTCATCTCATATTCTACTGACACTGTAGTATTTTTAGAAACTAGACGCGAAGAATATTTTCTGCCTTGCGTCGTTTGCAGTCTAGCCACACAGTTAGAAAGACATTGGTGCTGCATGCCTACTCATATTATCTAACCACATCTACTACTCTGGAAATGACCCCGTTACCTTCAACAAATCTGGTTTGTTCTTCTATCTCATTCTAAATATTTTATCCTTCGGAACTCTTACGTGATACCACATTTCATTCACTTCCATGCAAATCCTGATTGCAACTCATTCAACACATAACTTTTCTCAATACACACCCATGGCGAATTTATTCAGCGTCTCTTATGTGTTCATTAGTAGTAAGTACTGTGCACACGACCATCCTGGTCTTCTGTTGCTAGTGTATTTTTGTCGAAGACACAGGTGTGCATAAAAGTAACTGGAGGGAATCAGATCTTCGACGGATTGGTTTTTTCCCACTCATGTGCAGATGAGGGTTATTTTTGAATAAATTGACCTAGGATTATCTACACTATCAGACATATGTATGTATATACGAGTGATTTATCATCTCAATTCCTTTGCTTCACCTGCTTTGCATTGATTCACTTCACTGACAGTAAAATATTCCTCGTCTCTGAAGTAGATATCACACGTCGTTTATACAGGTGTTTATATCAGGTGTGTACTCGAGAAATACAGCCTCGATTTATGAGTCGGTTGACAGTGACTAGCAGAGGAGTCCAAGATACTCATTTCTTCATACTGATCTTCATCCATCGTTGAATCATCTACACTAGGAGGCAACGCATCAACAGAGACTGAGCATTTTAACACAATATGATCAATCAGCGGACAAACGAATCAACATGAGCAAATAAAGACTCCGAAAATCAACTCTAATTATTCTATAAGGAATCTGTTACATTCTAAGTCCAAATATATTTATGAACAGGAGTGAAAAGCACTCATGTATCTGCCACTCTGAAACTGAAGTCCGTTAGAAATGAAGACGAGGTATATTCACACCTCATGTACAGAAGTGATGTAACAAGTTACGAGTAGAACTGTTATGCTTCACCATTACTATGCATCAATACGGAGGAAGGGTTAGTGGACATCAAGGAGTAACAATGCAACCAACGATATTCCAAATCATAAAATAACTAAAGAATTTATTTACAGAGTATGAAGTTTTAATTTTCATAGAATTCTGAATCGATTTCTAGGGAAGTATGGAGGCTTTTGAAAACAGGTTGAGTAAGAAATTTCCAAATACTTATAAAAATGAGCGAAAAAAGGGAGAAATACACTTTCTCACCACCAAATGCCAATCGGTTGGAATCCTGTCTGAAAGAGTAAAATATATCTTCATCGGAACTAAGTATGATTTCTAGAACAGTGCAAATCAGAGTAGACAGTGACATCAAAGTTTGCATCCAACCGATTACTTTTCATCTCTTGTATAACTTTCTCCATAACATAATACTCTGTACAGTCGTAAGCAATAGGCTCAAAATCATCATCAAATTTGTTGGCGAAAAACTCCGGTCGTGATGGTATGTATGGGAGATTACCTGCACCTATGATACACACAGAACGACGAACTCTGGAACTTTTACAGCCTTCGTCAAACCATGTCACATAACGTGCAACGAATCGTTTTCGTCTATCTGAATGATTGGTTTCGTGAATTTCGTTGCAAGCAGCTGGTGCACCGAGTGATGGATCGTGGGTTAGCGTTGGGAAGAACAATTCATCCGGATGCTTCTGCAGGTGTCTTTCTGCTTTCATAGCATCGAGTATTTCATTCGCTCTTGGGTCAGTTTGATAGAAGTGTACGAATTCTCGTTTCAATGCCATATAGAAACTGCCTTTGCTCCAGAGGATCTGTGAGTAATCAGAAAAAGAAATTGTAGAAGGCTTCTATTATGTGTGTGTGTGTGTATATATTCGTGCTTACTAAATTTCATAGTAAAGTGTAAAAGTACGATGAGGTGTTTGAAACAAAGATTTCTATACTACCTTACTCAAATCAGTCAGAAAGTGGAACACTACATTCCATCAGGATTCAAGTCACAACCCTTTGAATGCCATACTCGCGTCTGGTAGTTCAGGCGACAGACCGTCGAACTAGTAATTTAAACACCACGGGTTCTACACCCACCATCAACCAGATTTTCATTCTACCTTCAGTTGCCACTCACTACATGAAATTCATGTGTGTCAAGGTGACATGATATGCCATATAGACAGTTGTGGGCATTAATCACTGCTCACCTGCCTATACCATGGAAGTTGATTTCCTTCTGGGTCACCAGAAAGTCATAGGTTAACAAGAGAGAACGAAGTGAAATGAGAACACATGCACTACAATGGGCAAACACAGAACTAGCAAGTGATAATTAGTTTGCATGGCTTTCGTCAATGGCATTATTTATCAGAAACAGCTATTTCGAACCCATCAATTTTGTTGGGAACCTTCCGATGCATATTGTGCCAAAATGACCAGTTTTACCAGTTTATAAGTTTAACATGCGAACAAGTAGACAGGATGTCGGAACAAACAAGTTTCAAGTTTAACAATAGTGTGCTCGATAAGTGAGTGATAATTCACAACATAAATGAGAAGAGAATAGTGCTCATCAAAGTGGATGTTGACACATGAAATAGAGATACAATGTAAGAAATGAAACAAATTATATACAGTCAGACTGTAAAATAGTGAAGTGAGAGAAGACTTTTTCAAACAAGCATATTTACGAACACAATATTCAGCGAAGAGGCTCATTTCAACGAATTTATTTTCAATCTGTACAATCGTATATATATGGTTTTTTTAATTGAATCTGGTGACGGAATTACGTCATAGGTGTGACCAGGTGTACGCTGAGCACACGGAAATACTCATTTTAATATTTAGAATTATCACAATACTCAAAATATTCGTAAAAGTCAGAGTGACAATCATGACTGTTATATTGGTAATGGAGTTCTTTGCTTTAACGATGATATCTTTACTAATCATAATCATAACAGTAATAATTATAAGAACAATAATCAAATCAGTTATTATGATTATTCTTGGAGGTTTATTATTATTATCACTACTATTACAGTCGTTGTCATCTTCAATAAAAAGTATATTCGGATCGAACTATATTCGGTGAGGGAATTAGATCAAAGGTGTGCACACATGAAATAATAATAGTTGTATGAAATGCAATTAAAATATTTGTGATTATAATCATAGTTAAATGTCAAGTGGCAAAATAATAATGTCATACACAGAATAATACATAAGGTGTATAGATTTTGGAAAGGAGTGTGCAATTATAGAATTAGTAGGCAAATCGAATAAAATAAAAATGAAAACGTTACGTAATATTGTATGAAATTTGATAGCATCGAATTTAACGTTGTAAAAAAGAATTGATTTAGAATGACAAGTGGAACAAGTGAAATATCCCGGGGACAGTTCAAAGTGAGAATAGTAATAATAGCAATTGACTTAATAAGGAAGAGTATACAAATTGAATAGACAAAATGAAAAATAAAAAATTGGTAGAACTAAAATATGATTTGGGATTACCATACTTTAGCATAGAGGGATTAAGACAATGAAATTTGGAGGAGTTGAACGAACGTTTTCTGTACACAGAGATCTGGGTTGTCTGTTTCGATAGCCAAAGATGGCTTCAGCAAAACAGATGAGTCGGGTAAGTAGGGATTTGGGTAAATTACTCTTTGCCTTGTAGGCGATTTTAAAGGCAGAGGCTATAGAGATAGGGTGATCATTATCGACCAGATGTTCAATGATCGCGCTCCTTATTCCTCCACTTTCACCTCTATCTTATCAAATTTCACACCATGTTATGTAACATTTTATATTCGTCTACTAATCTTATAATTATGTACCCCTTTCCAAAATCTATACACATTATGTATTATTCTATATATGACATTAATTATTTTCCCACTTGACACTAAACTATGATTATAATCACAAATATTTTAGTTTTTCCATTGCATTTCATGCTATTATTATTTCATGTATTCATACATTTGACATAATTCCCTCACCGGATACAATATAAAAAAACTGTATATTTACTATTGTAAAGTTTGATAATAAATTTGATGAAAAGAGTCTCTCCGCTAAATATTGTGTTCTTAATACTACAATAGGAATCATTAAATTATTGATAAAATGCATAGCAAATTTACACCAAATAGGTTTAACTGAAAAGCTTTCAGGTGCAGAAGAAATGGTGGTTCAAGGAAAATAATTCTCGCCAGGCTCATATGTCGACTACGTTCCATTCGTTTTCGATGAATCCCTTATACTCACCGAGTTAGTATTTAGCTCTGAAAAGAAGGAAGGCTTGGGGAATCAAGACCTAAACTTGTTGAATGTAGTAGACTATATTTCCACTATGGGTAAGATTTATTTTGATATAGTTACATAGTGTTATACAGTAATATTTACTGATGATGTTTCGAGCACAATTTATTGATGGATTTTATAGGATAGCTTTTTGATACCAGCACTTCATCTATCAGTTTTATTTCATCATTTAGGTCTTATTTGTACTACTCAGTGCTACTTCTCGGTCTGTTGGACACTTAGCTAAGCTTGCCTTAACAGTTAACGGATGAGATGAATTAAAGTCTAAATATCTATTGCAATGCTTTGGTTTACATAAGCGCTAGTGTACAGTTTACCTCCTTCTATTCGTTTCGTTTTACAATCTAGCGTCATTGATAATTCCTCTTGTTCATCTTCCAATTCAAATGTGAATTTTATTCCCTTTACTATTGAGTTTAAATGTATCGAGAAGCTGGAGATATGTTCCATTTTCAACACTGCGAAAATGTCACCCACATATCTCCACCAAATTTTTGGAATAGGATTAAATGTATTAGGAACAATATTTTCCCAGCTGTTCATTAGGAAGATCAGAAAAGGTCGGAAGCAAATCTAACATAATTGTGAAACTAGAAGTAATAACATAAACAAGAGAGAATATAAGGCATCTACTTTTATATCATATAAGGAGGGGATATCTGGAACCCTACGTAAGATTTCAAATTAAGCGGGAATTTGAGTGGTATATAAACCTTCAAACACACTCAGGTAGGACAAGCTCTGTGAGCCAAAAGGCCCTGTCCGTCGACCCAATTAGACAAAATAATATAATTTACAAAATACCCTGCAATGACTACTGCTACATAAACCAATCAAGTAGGTATTCACCAATATATGTAGGGCTAACACAGTCAGTCTTTCTTTATTCTAACCAAAACCTTCCTGTAGAACCACAGTCCTATCAAATTGCAATTTGTGTCCCGTTTCTATCGAATTCAGTGCAATCGCTGATCTGATTCCTGGCTTCTTAAGTCTACAGAGGTCTTCAGAACCACCTTCAGACATTGCTTATGCTCTTTCACTCTTATATGCACCTGTATGGAAGTTTCTACGCATACACGGCGTCTAGTGAACACAAGTATCTTGAATACCTTTTTCTGTTTCATCATGAACCCCCACCAGTGACGAGCATAAGGTGTTATTTGCACAAAAATACGCCTCTATTTTATGATCGTTAGGGATTCATTACTTCTGATCCAATGTTTCTTTGAGGTAAGGAATCACCGCTCCACTAACACGCTTCGTAACAACAGGTTTCAATTCATCCTTATCTTCATATTTTAAACATCTTTTCATAAAGCCGAACAATTTCAGATACCCGAAAAGTAGACCACTTATTCACTTATAATATATTCACTACTGAACACACCTCTCATTTGAATGACCGGTTGCTATCTCTGTATAGATCAGTGGAGAAGACGTAGAGACAGGAAAGATGAACACAGACCCTTCGAGTATTGGTCATCCAGAAAGCGAATGAGATGTAACATATGAGAAGATCTTACCGGGAATGTGAAATTCTTTGCTGGCCATCGGGATGGATTATGCCGTGGACCTAGACCTTCAACAACATTCGACCCATTGATTGCCTTCAAAGCTGTTACCAACTCCCGATTGGTTCTCAGTGGCAATTCCTGTCCATTCACATTCAGAATGTAGTTCCACTTGTATTCAGTCTTGTTCATCAATTTGTCAGCACAGAGGAGAAACACTTCGAGGATGGAGTAATAACCCCATTGAACGTCAATGCTTTCCGATCGATTCACTACCATCACATTCGGACCAAAACAATTGGCTAGTGCCAACACTTCATTATAAAATGATTGTGGCGACTTAGAGTCAATGTGAATGCAGTACAGATTGTGTTGTCTGTGTATCAGTCGAAGTAATCGAGACACCTGTTTGATGTTATCGTGTACAGCTATACTGAAGGCTAGCGGGAAATCTTTCTCCTCCATCGATGGTTGAACTACATGTCCTTGGAATAACTTGAATTCACGACAAACATCGGTATTGGATAAATTTGAATAGTTCACGTCCCATTTCACCTGAATACTTTCAATAACTGCTTGACTATAATTTTTCACAGGCTTTCTGAAGAAATATTCGCATACGCTTTTGAGTTCATCGTAGCGTTCAATTGATAACTGGTGCTTATTATCTCTGGAATCGGTGAGCGAATGAAATAAACTATGTAATATGTACAATGATGTGAGCAAGAAAACTCCTATGATTACATTTCTGATTAGACAGCGATGACTGAATTTAGTTACGAATCCCTTCATTCGCGAGACAATTGTTTCAAGTTTGTGTAAATACATCCTTTTCCACTATTCAGTAAACAATTGCATAGGTAGGTATCAACAATAATTCAAATGAATAATGAGTAATCAAATTGGATTCCATGTCTAGTTGAGAACTAGGTGATCTTTATACTTTGTGAAGACCAAACAGTAGTCATCTAAGTGTTGAACGCTCTGTATTGAGTAAAATATTTCAAAGAAGAATACTGAAATGTGATTTGATAATAACCGTGATGGTAAATAATTGATTACTTAATTCACCAACTAAGTGACTGATTGACTGACTGAGTGACTGACTAACCAACTAACAAGCTGACCATTTGACATAATTAAAATGATTTCAAAATATTGTAAACTAAACAAATAAATAAATACATTAGCTAGTCTCATTTAAATTCTACTAATTTCACTAAACACCATAAATGTACTACTAGTATGTGCACAGATTTCATTTCTTCTTGAATTCCAAATGCTTTTTAATACTAGTCGGCTAATTATCACAACACAGTGTCACCTATTCATTCAATGGTCAATAACCAGTCAATGTAACCCGTATTACAGTGTTTAGTCCTTTCGGCCTAACTCAATTCGGTGATTCAGCTTTGCAGTGTAAGCATTCAGGTAGGAGACACACCAGTAGGCTACAGTTCAAGGTAAACAGCAGGAAGCTCTCTGAATGATGTCTCATGTTAACTGGGACTGTTCACCAAGATTTATCTACAGCTGAATCAGGGCTGGAGTGTCATCAGATATCGAAATCCACGCCACCCATCGCCACAGTTTCAGACAGTATCACTGAGTTTCTGACCTCGTGCATGAATATCCAATATCGAGTACATATCTCTGCTGACAGAATTTCGTGCTCACAAAATCATATCAGTGCTGTTTGTACAATGAAATTGAATCTGAATGGTCATAACTGCTAACGACTTTTCAGTCATGTCAAATCGACAGTTTCAAGTTACTATGAAGACTGAGTGTACTGCTTCTTGTAAGCTCCCTTCAATCATCATGTCGCATTAATCTGTGGGGTTTGATGAAGCCTGAGTGGAATAGTGTACATACCAGCATAGGTAGGAAAGACTCCTAAGAATGACAGACAGTAAGTACTACAGTCAATCTTCTCAATAAGATACTAAAAGAACTTGTTGTTTAGGTGATGGGAGGTGTCTAAAGTTGATGAATGATGACATAACTAAGTAAGTGTGAAAAGAAGGTTACAATTACATTGAATTAAAAATCGAACAGAAAGTAATGTGACAATTAAACGGTGGAAATATTTATGGAAATTAAATTGAAGAAGTGGTTAAATGATGCGTGATTGTAGAGAACATAATGCAAGCAATTTAAAACACCATATATGTGGGGTGAAGATAACGGATTTAAAGTCATTAAAGTAGTTAATTAGCTGAGGTCTGCAAGAGATTATTGGCCAAGGAGAACTCAGAATTTTCGAGTATGAGAAAGGTAGAAATAACGACGGTATTCAAAATCAATTAATTTGTAGTGGTTAGCAGTAAGTTATTACATAATCGACAATTTGTAAATAGTGATGTTTAAGACGGATAGACAAATGCATCAAGTAGGAACACAAAGACACCAATCATTTACATGAGTTAGTTGGAATAGTGATCATAATAAGATGACAAAGTGAATGACAATTAAAATATATATGTATATATTTTATGCAGATGGCCAATTCAGAAAATTTATTTTGAGAAGGTGGATTTGGATTGTTCAGATGAACTCCGAATGCTTCATTTGTATGTTGAAGTCATAGCCGTACAGCGTGCGAAAGGCTAAATAAAGCACAAATGAATAACTTTGTGGAGTACGTAACAATGTGATTTCACACTTTTTGGTTATTTGTAGAAATTAGAGATATTGTACATAATTTTTGTTTAAAACGCTTCTTGTTGAAATATAGATAACTTCCGTGTACAATTGAAAGATACACTCTGCTGTTGGAGACTTCGTCTTCTCCCTGGTTATTCCTGCTTACTTGCTCGACTCACACCGTGTTGCATACTTCGGATTTATTGTAGGAGTCTACTACTCTCAACCGAAGACATTTCTACAACCGGAACACAGCAGCTACAGCAGACGCAGTCCAAACAATTAACGTACCCGTGGATTATATAAATAATTTGTAGCAGAGGACTTAGACTTTATATCCAAGTAATCCTTTTTGTTGACATAACTCGTCACTGCATTTTTGGTAATATATTGTGATTTAACACTCCATTGACTTGGATTATTATTTTTATATTTGTAATGTTAGTGAACTCTAATATTAGTCCCCTACAAATTTTTTTTTTTTAATAATAAGAACACGGATTATTTTGACATATTCATATTCTTATTTTTGCTATTTTGTAAATTCATTGTGATTTTGTGTGTGGTTTATATTGGTATCCTATTTCGCACCAATAACCTCATATTTATAATGTCGTCACCTCAGTCCGGTACATCAAACGAGCAGACATCTAATAGCGAGACAAATGCCACAATAAATGCCATCACTGATTTTCGTTTACCTCAATACGGTTTCGCAGAACCAAGGATTTGGTTTGCGGTAATTGAGCCGTTGCTAGAAGCACGGGGCATTAAGTCCCAGATAGCCAAATATGGTGTAGTGCTGGCAGAACTCTCTCCGTCAGTATTGACAGAAATCAGCGATTTCATTGAAAATCCCCCGACGGAACATCAATTTGATAAACTTAAAGCCCTCCTCATACAACGCACCAGTTTGTCAGATGAGAAAAGAATCCAACAATTGCTCACAGGCTGTGATCTAGGCCCACGTAAACCATCCCAGCTGCTCAGGCACATGCGCCAGTTAATCGGACACCATAAAGTAGACGAGGTAGTACTGAAACAGATGTGGCTGCAACGTTTACCTAGAAATGTCCAGCAAATTTTAATCATCTCAGGAAAGTCGTATGACTTAGACCAACTAAGTTACATGGCAGATAGTGTTATGGATGTTTTATTTGATAACACCATAAGTCACATAGCATCTGATAGTGCCACACCGTGTCATTCCACACCCACGGCAGACACACCAATACTCGCCGCCATTGCAGACTTAGCGGCAAGGATTGACAAGTTGGAAACTAATAGGTCTGATCGACGAGTCCGGAGGCGGAGTTCACAAAGAAGGTCACCATCACGACGACGATCCTTCTCACGACAGCGTTCTCACACGTCTTCTCGGGATAGTAATATATGCTGGTATCACTGGAAGTTTGGACGTCATGCCCTGAAATGTGTAAAACCGTGAAGCTTTAGCGAAGCCAACCAGGCTCAGGGAAACGCCTCAGCCAGACAGTGATGGCGACAGCTGTTACTGGCAAGCAAACAAGTCGCCTCTTCTATGTGAAGGACAAAACTTCAGACACTTTATTCCTGGAAGACACGGGAGCAGAAGTTAGCGTGATCCCTCCTTCACTATCCAGGCGATCTACACGGACACCCGGAAAACTGTCTCTTCGGGCAGCCAACCACACAAGCATACAGACGTATGGAGAGCAATTCCTCATTCTGGATCTAGGTTTACGTCGGCGTTTCACATGGATTTTCATAGTAGCCGACGTGGGTCACCCCATCCTCGGAGCTGATTTCTTAAGTAATTTCAATCTGTTAGTTGACGTCATTAATAAAAAACTGATTGATAACAACATTCAACTAAAGATCCATGGAATTATCTCCAACTATTCTGTCTATAATATCAGTATTGAAAGACCAGCAGATTGAACTTTTTCAGCCCTACTTCATCGTTTCCCTAAAATTCTTAAGCCGTCGTACAACATCGAGGACGTCCCTCATACAGTCACTCACAAGATAGTTACTACGGGTCAACCAGTTCGTGCTTTCCCTCGTAGATTACCCCCGGACAAACTAGCAGCAGCCACAGTTCCCGACCGTTACCCTATTCCCCATCTTCATGATTTCTCCTTGACATTACACGGAAAAACCATTTTTTCTAAAGTAGACTTGGTCAGGGCCTATCACCAAATACCAGTTGCCCAAGAGGATATCGAAAAAACGGCCATCATCACACCTTTCGGTTTGTTTGAATTTCTCCGCATGCCATTTGGCCTAAAGAACGCAGCACAATCCTTCCAACGTTTCATGGATCAGGTCACACAAGGTTTGGACTTTGTATTTGTATATATCGATGACGTTTTAATTGCTAGCTCGTCGCCCGAAGAACATACTGATCACCTCACCATCTTATTTCAACGATTTGAGCAATATGGAGTCGTCATTAACCCCAAAAAGTGCATATTCGGTGTCTCCTCTATACAGTTTCTGGGACACCACATAACCGCAATGGTATTACGCCTACGGAGGAAAAGATAGAGTCCATCAAAAACTTCCCCGAACCAGATTCACTCAAGAAGGTCAGACGTTTTTTGGGGATGTTTAATTTCTATCGGCGTTTCATTCCTTCGTGTGCCTCCATCGTCCAGCCGTTAACCGACCTCCTTAAAAATGATCCTAAAAAGTTTCAGTGGTCAGCTGAAGCACACGAATCATTTTGCAACGCAAAAGATGCCTTATCCAGAGTCACTATGCTATCCCATATCAACCCCGAAGCGTCGCTTATTTTGTGCACAGATGCCTCCCAAGTAGCTGTAGGGGCAGTATTACAACAAAAGATGAAGGGCGAAGTCACCCCACTCGCATTCTTTTCTAAGAAGTTGGAACCGGCTCAGACACGATACAGCACTTTTGGGAGAGAATTGCTGGCCATATATCTTGCAGTGAAGCATTTCAGTTACTTACTACAGGGCCGGCATTTCACTATTTTTACTGACCACAAGCCCCTGTGTCATGCTTTCACTACTTCACTCGATAAACACTCCCCTAGAGAAGCCAGACAGTTGGATTATATCTCCCAATTTTCAACCGACATTCAGTACATCAAAGGGGATGCGAACGTGGTAGCCGATTCTCTTTCAAGAAGTGACATTAACCAGCTCCAAACGTCGGTAGACATCAGTCTTGATCGTATGGCTCAATTACAAAGAGATGACGTTGAACTCCAAACCTGCCGCAGAAACTCTTCCTTACAGCTCAAAGATGTGCCTATCCCCTTATCAGATGCAACCATAGTCTGCGATGTATCTACCGGCACTAATCGTCCATTTGTCCCTCTCAGTTGCCGAAAAGCATTGT